TGTCCTGCTGGGACCAGGGTTCTGCACAACAGGAGCTCAGCCTCTGGACCAGACTTGGGCCAAACCTGACAGTGACCAAGAACTATTCCCTCGGGAAAATCAAGGCACGCGGGGCTCCGTGCCCGACAGTGACCGCGCGACCAGCAAGGTGAAGGCGAGGCCCCTGCGCGCCCGTCTGCGCTTTCTCCTCCTCTTTCCATCTGTCACCTGAGAGTTTTAACAGACAGGAGGAAGTGTGTCTCACTCACTTGTAACTTTATTCTGTGAAAGAAACATCCACAAAAACTAATGAAACATGTAAAACTGAAAGTTAAAAATACTTCTCTCTTTCACTTCCTTGCTGGGGTGAAGTCAGATTTCTGTGCGGTCGGCGCCACCCGGACCCAGAGCACCCATCCGGCCTTCCACCCGGTCTCCCAGGAGGGAGAGGCCCAGAGGCTCCAGGCAGCCAGGAGGCCAAGCGGCCCGAGGTGGGCGGGGGGGGGCACAGCGTTTCCCCAAACGCGCAATCCCAGCAGCGTCGGTTGAGAGAGAGCGTGCCTAGCCCTGTCCAGGACGCAGCGATGGCTCCAAGCACGAAGGCCAGGGTCTGCGGTGCTGGTGAGGACATAGGGGGACCGGACATGGCCCACAGGCCACGGGTGTAAGAGGGCTGCGGCTCCCCAGAGAGTGAAACTGGAGCTGCTGTGGCCCCAGCAGGCCCCTCCTGCGTGACCAACTGCTGCCACAAAGAGCAGGATGTGGTGTGCTGAGTGTGACTTAGCTGTAGAAAGGGACGGAATTCTGACACATTCTGCAACGCGCACGTTCCTTGAAAACATTCTGCTCAGTGAAAGAAGTCGGCTTTCACAAAAGGCCACGTGTTGTGTGAGTCCATTTCCAAGAAACGCCCAGAACAGGCAAACCCGTGGAGACAGCAGGTGGGCCCAGGTTTCTTGTGGGGAAATGAGCTCATCTTGGATTAGGTGGTGGCGACAGTTGTACAAGTTTGTGAAGATGGTGGGAACTACTGGAAAGGGTGAGTTTTGTACATGTAACTATATTTCAATGAAGAAAAAAATGCTCTTTCATTTTGCACATTGGGGATTTTTCTAGAGTATATGATCAGAAATATGTGAAAACACGAAGACAATCAAGACGGTTGTAACAACAAAAACCAGATGTGATTAAGTATTTTAAAAACAGGACTGGTAAGATACTTAGGAACATGAAATACATAGAAATTCAATTATTAAGAAATCAGTTTCACGAGGGAGGGTGTAGCTCAGTGCAGTGGTAGACTGTGTGCTTAGCACGCAAAGTCCTGGGTTCAATCCCCAGTCCTTCTGTTAAAAAAAAAATTGGTTTCAGACGGGCCCAAGACTACCTTTGTTTCACACACACGTGCCACGCAGCCATCAAAACAGAGGGTGAACTCGGCTGCCGCCCAGTGACACACAGCAGCTCGTGCAGGGCGGAACCCCTCGCAGACACACCATGGACCTGGAGACGCGACCTGAGGGCCTGACGGCAACTAAAGCAGCAGGAATGGGGGTGGGGGATTGAGTCCTGAGGGAGGGGGAAAGGCCGAGGCAGGCGTGGGCAGCCTTTCCTCCAGGGCCTCCCCGGCCCACGAGGTGTGTGCGGACACAGCTCCAGCCAGAGGCTGTGGTCACCTGGGCTGCTGGGGCAGAGTGTCTGGAAGCCAAGGGGAGAAGTGCACAGCCCGTGCAGGAGCCGGCACCCAGGAAAGAACCTCCAGCAGGAACACAGGCCGAGGTGGGGGCCCTGCTGTCCCACCCGGTGGGCTCGATGGGCGGCAAACTCCTGGGCTGCTGGTAAAACCCAGTCAGCCCCACCCGCCCCAACGCAGACACTGCCTGCCCTAACGATGTGCTGGAGACCAGCCGGGGGCTCAACCACCTCTGAGAACCCGCCCAGCACTTCCCAGGACCCCACGGAACTCAGAGTCCCTGCCCGGAGAAAGAGAAAAGGCCCACGAACACCCAGAGGTGACAGGAGAGCGACAGCAGAACTGGGCATCTGGAGCTGACAGTGACAAGCTGGCTGAGGGGTTCGGGGCACTGTCACGAGGATGGTCAGTGGCCAGAGGCAAAGGCCACCCCGCCGAGCAGCCCGCTGGGGGTGCGAGTGGAGTAATGCAAACTACAGGAAAGAAGCCTGCAGGTTCCACGTCACAGCCTCCCGGTGACTGGATCCCCTGATGGTGTCCCTGGGACCAGGCCCCTCAGACACCGCTCCTCTCCAGCGCGTCTGCAGCGGAGGCCGGGCCCTGTGGGCGCAGGACACTCCGGGACAACTGCCCACAACCCGGGTCGCTGTCCCTCTGCAAACCCGCAGCCTTAGTCTGGCCACAACCTTTCCACAGCCCTTTCAGCACAGAAGCCAGAGCCCCTGTGTTCCGAGGGCGTCCTGCCCGGCTCACCTCCCAGACCAGGCTGTGGGTGACCAGCTCCCGACAGCCTGCCCCCCAGCTACACCAAGACGGCTGCCTTTTGTTTGCCTGGAAACTGCAGCAAACGTCTCTGACACCCTGAGAACAAGGTCCTACACCAGCCTTGGCGCGGGACCCTTCCCTGCGCTCCTCCCGGGAACGGCCCAGGCCGAGGCGCCCGGGCTCCCCGTGCCCTGCAGCTGTTCCTTGATCCCGTCTGCTCTCCAGCTTCCAGCTCCTGGCTAGACTTAGGATGTTGCGAGAACCAGAGAGATTCTAAACCAGGAAGCACAGCGACCAACACGAGGAGCCTCCGGGTGGGCCCAGGGGGACGGACAGCAGCGGCCGCCGCGAGCCTGGAGCGGGGGTGGCAGAAACTCGCCAACCGGAAAACAAAACAGGCCGGAGTCTCCTGACCCACAGCACCCAGCCGAGCCCCACACACATGGTTGCCGCGACTGAAGGAGCGGGCAGGGAGACGGGCATTAAGAACGTTCACAAACACAATGACGGAAACTGCCCAGCTGCTGAAAGCCAACCTCGGGACCACAGGCGCAGCCCTGCTGTTAACCGCGTCCCTCTAGGCCCGGTATGGGATGCCCGAGGCACCCCGACGCTGGAGGGAGCCCTGCTGGGTGACCGCCCAGAGCCCCCGCCACAACCCCACCACCGCAGGTCAGGGCCCGACAACCAGGGTGTCCCGGGGCCCACCAGCCGCCCTCATCCTGCTCTCCCTGCCCCCGGTGTGGCCCTGCTCCCTCAACGCTGGACCCCCCAGGTGCCTCCTATCTCCCAGGGATGTCTTCTCCACAGTCATTGCCAAGCCTGCCTGACTCACCGCACCTGACTGACGTGAAGCCCACAGCCCGAGATCATCAGAGACCCCAGAAGCTTCAACAGGAAGAAAACCACACCAGCCACGCCACTGACCCCAAAGACAAAGACCTGGGAGCGCAGCCGGCGGGAGGAGAGTGTGGGCGACGGCTGCCTTCGCGTGGGAAGGGCCCCTTCAAGGTGCTGGACCGACACCCGCCTGCGCGGGGAAGGTGAGGGGGCACCTCGGGAGCAGCGGAGGGACCGCCACGCCAGGAACGCGGAAGGCAGGCCTCCTGCACGCGAGAGAAGGAGGCGGCTCCCACCTCGGCAGCGGTGGCGTCACAGGACAGCGTCCCTCCCCAGCGCCCGGGGAGGAGCACAGACTGCGTCTCAGCAACCTGGAGGTAACGGAAATGCACGCTCCCGCCCGAGCAGGATAAAGCAGAAAGCAGGAAGAAGTCCAGAAATCCTCGAGTATTTGCAGACACTAACAGCCACCATCTCGGGCAAAGAGACCTCAGACTTTCTGCTGCTTGTTCGCCCTGTGCTTTTCCCCTTTGCTGTAAAACTCAGCACTAAGGACGCGCTGGTGGGGAATCACACTTTTTCCAAATGTATTTTTAAACCGCTTCTTTCTGCAGGACAAGCAGCAACGTATTTCTTCCTTGAAAACAAATTAATTGCACATTAAGAACTCATTTAGAAAATTAAGAACCTGAAAAACTCTCCTTTCTCCTGATCTATACAAAGTAGGAATGAATACAAATTTTTCTTATGTGGATTTGCTGGAAAAAGTCAACCTGACTTATTTACAAACCAAGTCCACAGTTACTGTAACTGAGTAAGGAGACTGTGAAAACACACAGCATCCGTCCCCGGGCTCCCAGCCTCCCCCTGGAGAGGTCTCTGAGCCCAGTGGACAGCCCTGAGCCCTCCTCTCGCCCCAGGCCTGAAACTCCCCACCCACGCCCTGGGGCACCTGGCAGACTGGAGCCTGCAGGACCTAAGACTGTGCTCCAGATGGGGCTGAGAGACCCTGGGCTGCAGGAAGCGGAAGACTCAGGGCCAAGGAGACAGTGTCCACGGGGCAGCAAGATGGGGGCGGAGAGGGCTACTGCAGGGCGCTGGGAACAGGAAGACGCCCATCTGCCCCGCAGCTGCCCAAGCACGCCCCAGAGGATGTTTCTCCAAACTTAATAAAGACCCGTTTTCACTGGGGGACGAAAACCTGAAAGTCTAGGTGAACGTTCGAAAACAAGGGCTGGAACACGTAAGTTTTTTTTTTAATAATTTCTTTTTCTTCTTATTTTTTTCCCCTTAATGGAGGCACTAGGGATTGAAGCCAGGACCTCGTGCACACCCAGTGCGTGCTCCACCCCCGAGCTCCACCCCCACCCGCCAGGTTTCTCCTTCTGAAACAAGTCAATCTTATAACTGTAACAGCCGTCCCTCGTCTCCCAGAGAAGCCAGTCTGCAAACGATCCTCAGAACCCTCTCCCCCAGAAAGGCGGGGTGGGCTCCGTGAGCTGCACACGGAAGCGGCCAGCCACAGACTCACGGGTCTCACAGTACCTCTTTCCGCTCCGCGTCAGCCTGAACGCGGGCCTGGGCCACGGCAGCCTCTCGGTAGGAGCTGGCCTGCTTGGCTTGTTCAAATAGCGTCTTCAGCTGCTGCGCCGTGTTGAGCAAGGAATTGACCATCTCCTCCAGGTACAGCCAGCTCCGCTGCTCTGACATCTCCAGCCCGCCAACCACCGTGGGAGAGACGGCTTTGGTGGGGGTGGAGGGTGGCACCGCCAGGGCCGGCAGGGAGGTCAACACTAGAACGTTTGGAAGCAAAGTAAAGCAGGAAGTTAACTAACAGGTTTCCTGGCTCCCAGGTGCCCATCAAATGTGGGAGAGCAGGGCGGTGGGGAGGCTGCGACAAGTCCTGCCCTGTACAGGGTGACCGCGGACTCGCAGAGCCAGCGAGAGAGCAGGGCCAGCTAGGGGTCCTGGTTAAATCGCATAATCATGAACCAGACAGAGTGAAATCTCCTGGTTTCATTTCTGCTCACGCAGAAAGCCTTCCGGATGCCTGAGGTCACAGGGGATGGATGAGGGATGCTGGGAGGCCGGAGAAGACGAAGGAAGTCAAGAAGACGCGGAAGGGACCCAGAAGGGGCAGGACGGGGACCCCCATGCGGAGGTGCGCGCACAGTGCCCACCTCCGTCCCTGGAGGGGCCTGGGGGCAGAGACGCCCTGTGGCCCGAGCGCACCCAGGGCTGTGCTGTCGGGTGTCTAACATTCAACCTCCAGGAGAGAATCCGATCGCGTCTGCCAATTCCCTGGTGTAAATGCTCCACCTAGGCCGGCTTCAGGCTCCCAGCGCGAGGCCACCGGACGTGGGCCACACAGGACGCACAGACCCACTGTGGCCAGGGCCAGACTCAGCCGTGAACCTCATTCCCCACTGACAGGGTCAGGATCTGGGAGGAATTACACCACCAACCCTCGCTGGGCCGGACACTAAGGAGAGGCCAGCGTGACAGGGCAGCTCAGGACTCCCGCTGGCCAAATCTGGGGCCGCTGCACACAGATCATCACAGCAAGTTCCAATGCCCTGAGTAAGACAGGGACCCACGAGTCCATGCTGACATGAGAGATGAGCCAGAAAGCAGCCGTGGGATGAGACTGGCCGATGCAAGAAGCCCCACTCAGGGCACAGGCTGACCACAGCGCGATGACCCTCCTTCTAGGGGCCGGGCTCCGGCCACAGCAGGGTCCCCAAGGCCGTGGCCTGGCCGAGGGGCCCCCTCCGGTGCGGAGAAGGAGGTAGAACTGAGGTGAGCTTCGAGGACGGAGGGAGTTTTAAAGCAAAGGAGAGAATAAGGAAGCAAGCAGATGAGAGTGGGAAGGCAACGCTTCACACGCACAAGGACGAGTTCCTATCTTGTGGCCTCACCCGTGTTGATGAAAAATGTGAAAAACACAAACGTCCACCAGCTGGGACTACAATGCTCCCTTTAAAACAGTGAACTGACAAGAAACGTATCCAAAACACGTGGCTAGTGACAAGTCAAACTCAAAACGCACAGGCAGGGCGACGTCCCTGTGCGGTGCCAGGCGGGCGCAAGGCAGACACACGCCCCGCCGGGCCCGCTCACCCAGCAGCGAGGGCCCAGGCCGCCTCACGGGAGGCAGGCCAAAGCGTGGTGTCTGGTGAGAGCCCGGCAGAACCCTGGGCTCAGCGGGTCATTGGTCACCACGGGGGCAGTCTCACAGCACAGGGAAGCCCAGGGCTCCCAACACCAGCAGGGCCCGGCTCGGCCAGCTGCCATCTGAAAACCCAGCACGCCCCACCTTGCCCGGAAGGCCCCCCAGAAGCAGCCGCTGTGAGCGGATGCCGGGCGGGGGCTGGCCCACACTGACCTATCTTGGGGTGAGCGGTTGGCAGCGCGGCCTCGGGGAACGGTGCGATCTGGCAGCTGTCCTGGTAGCCTGGGTAGTGCGGCTCCGGGTGGCCGACCCTGCAGGGGGGCTGCACCCCCGCCTCTTGCACTGTCGAGAGAAGAGGACGCGACAGCCCGTGACCGGCTGCTGGCTGCAGGTGTCACGGCTCAAGACCCTGCAGCTGCGCCAGCCAGCAGGGGCGCTCCGGGCTGAAACGCCGGGCGGAGCGCACACAGTGCCAGTCAGCTCCACCTGCTCCCTTTCCCTCCCCTAACGAGGCCACGGGGGCACACAGGGACACAGCGGACGTCCGCGCCCCGCGCTTCCATATCCAGTCCCCTCTTGCCCCGCCCACCACTCCAGGCCAACGAAAGGTCCCCACTGGAGGGACCAGGCTGCCCACAAACCCCAACTCTGTGGGCGGACCCGCAGGCGGCAAGACAACGTGCCTGTGGCTCCGGCAAAGACGTCGCCCTGCGCTGGGCTCTCCGAGATGACGGCGGTGGCCTCCACAGTGGACGCCCGGTCAAAGGTCAGCGCGCCGGAGGTAGTGATCTGGCCTGAGGGGGTCACGGTGACTGGAAGAGAAGAAGCAATTTCACTGCAGGGCCGGCGGCACCCCACCAGGCGGGTCTCAGACACCGTGGAGGGCCAGCCACCCCCCCAGGGACAGTGCCTGGTGCCTGTGGGGATGAGGGACGCCCGACCACTCCACTCGATGGCTCAGGCTGCTGGACTCCAAGCACATGATGTGCTGCCTCAGCAGAAAACAAGAAACGAAGTTTAAGGTAACATAACTGCCTTGTAATTTGAAGTAGAAAAAGATTTTCTTCAGAGTTAAAGACAAAAAGGCATTTCGGGGGCTCAGTCTTGTCTTGGCCTACGAGCAGCCAAGGACACGGGGCGGCCCTCACCTGCCACCCGCGGGGTCAGCCTGGTAGCACGGGAAGGGCTCTAAGGACCGGACTGACTCTGACGACTCTGAGACGGCTTCTCCAGTTCCCCCACCCCCCAACCTGAGGAGCAAGGAGCAGAAGTTTCCTCCTCCTCCTTCCCTTCCTGGACCCTTGTCAGCCGTCCCCATAGCAGGGGCCCGGAACCCCCTATGGGGCCAGGAGGCTGCACTGACCCGTGTCCTCGGCTCCTGGTCACCACAGGTGGTCTCCTGGCAGAGGACAGGCCAGCAGCCGAGGACACAGACCAGGCCCCGCTGACCACCCTCCGCCCGCGTGCCCAGCGTGTAAGCAGCGTCATGCGGAGAGCACGTCAGTCTCGGGATCTGCTCCACGAACACTCACAGGTGGTGGCGGCAGTGGCCGGGAGCAGGGTGATGTTCTTGGGTGAGTCCTTCTTGACCGGCACAGGGGGCAGCTCGCTTTCCCTCTTGCGCCTTTTGTAGGGGACAAAGAGCCGGACCGGGCCGCTCTGCAGGGAGAGGCAAAGGAGGATGAGAGGACACCCGCGTGTGGCCCTCCGCCCTGACCACATGACCGGCTTCAAGACGGAGCTACAGCCCGAGGCCCGACCCCTCTGTGGCCCCAAGCTCCTGACGACGAGAGGAAAGGCCTCCCGGACAGAGCGCATGGGGGCTGCCGCCCCAGACAACTCCTGGCAACATCGTGCTTTCAGGGAGCCCTGGGAGACAGGGAGGGGAGAGCCCGCAGACACTGGCCCCCGGCCCGGGGCCTGGTGGGGCAGGGGCAGCGGGAAAGCGGTGGAAGCAAGGGGCGTCCCGCTGGCCCTCTCTGCTGCCCTCCAGACCTACCAGGGTCCCCTGGTGGACTTCCAGCCCGCTACGCTCGCCCCGGCTTCCAGAGCCCCCACCGGGCTCCTTGTGAGGTCGCTCTCTGCTGGCGTCCTCCACGAGGAGATGCTGCCACCCCACCTTCTGCTGCGGCCAGCACCGTGTCCCCAGACTCACATGTGAGGCTCTGTCCCCGGGCCCAGCGGTATTCAGAGTAAGAAAGCCACAAAGGTTCAATGAGGTCTTGAGGGGGGCATCCTGATGGGATTAGTGTCCTTGCAGGGGGAGCCCTGGATCTCAGGTGGGGCTGCCAGACTCCCCTGCAGTGAGGAAACTTCTGAGGCCAGCCACCACTGTGGTGCTCTGGCCCCGCAGAGTCCCCAGGGCCCCTCCTCCAGCTCTCTGGACACAGGAGGCTCTCGGAAGCCTCTGTCCGCTGCCCCATCTCTTCCTCTGTGCGGCTCACACACCTGTTTCTTTACACGTCTCAGAATTTTGGGGGGGCCCTGGACACTTCACGTGATGTGTTGTAGCAACTGTGCAGGTGACCCTCTCCCTCTGGGCTCCCGGCGGTGGCCGTGGGGGGCCAGGTGCCCACTTGGCCGGCAGCGCTCCACTTGGTCCGCTTCCCAAGTGCTCCACACACAGGCGGCCCCGCCGTCTGAGCCAGTCGTCTCAGGCGCCTTTACCGGGTGGCTCCTGAGGGAAATCTTCGAGGAGGGCTCCTCGCAGCCATCACCTTCCCTGGTCCCTGGTGTCGCTGGCTGAGCCTCTCTGCTCGGAGCTGCAGGGACGGGGCTCACGGCCCGGGGCCCGCCACCCTGTTGGGCGAGCTGGGGCCAGGACCACGGCTGCGCCGAGCTGGAGGGACTGGGGAGGGGCAGGTCCTGGCTCAAACGTCAGACTCAGAAGATTTTCCTGCATAAACGTCTTTTCTGTTGTATGCCCCCAGGATAACGTCCAGTCGCCTTAAATGGTTGCTTTTTCTTTAGTAACTTTCACCAGTTAAGGTTATTCCTCTGGGGAGCGGGCCCACACCACCGTTCCTGCCGTGGAAGCCAACACTCCTAAGCCTGATGGAGCCGGGTGTCCAGGTTGCTATCTTATGGCTTGTGCCTTTTGTTTCAGGTCTAAGGAATCCTGGGTCTAACCCGGGACACAAAGATTTTCCTGGGTTTCTTCTAAAACTTTGTGAGTTTTATGTTTTGGATAAATTTTGATCTCTGATCCATTTTGAACTCGTTTGTATGTACAGTGCCAAGTTTAGGTCACGGATCGTTTCTGCGCCTGTGAATGTCCAGCCATCCCCACACACTGCACTGGGGAGACCCTCGGGGGACTCGTGTGGACAGCCGGCCTGCTCCTGGATGGGCAGGTCTCCCTGCACAGAATCATGCAGTCTTGACAACGGAAACACGGCGACTCTGCAAGCCCAGATTCAGCCTCTTTCCCTACACCCTCCTGCTCTCCTATTTCTTTTCGTTCCGACATGAATTTTAGAATCAGCTTGTTGACAGCTACAAAATCCTGCTGGACCTCTGAAGAGAACTGTGCTAACCACACACCAGTTTGGGGAGAACCAGCGTCTTCACTACGCTGAGGCCCCCTCCAGGGACAGTGTGTAGTCACGTCTTCTCTGACTTCTTTCGTTGGCGGTTTCTAGTTTTCAGCGTACATACTCTGTACATGTTTCAGCAGATTTACACCTGAGATCCCAGCGTTTTGGAGTGGCTGTAAACAATCCACTATGCACTCTCACCCCCTCAGTGGAACCCAGTCCCTCTTACTGCTCCTTCTGTCCTCGTGAGATCTCTGAGGGTCTCACCTGCTGGTTTTCCCAAGCAACCTTTACAGCTATTTTATTTTCAGAAAAACATCCCACTGGTCATTCTACTAGAAGGAATCTATACATGATCTATACGTGAACTGAACAGTTTAAGAATATTTAGTTTTTCCACTCAAGAGCACGTCTCTCCAGTTTTTTTCTGTATCTTCTGATAATTAACCAGATGAGTAATCAAAATTTAAAAAGAAAACCTCACTAAGCAATTCTTACTTAATTTTAAAACGTTTAAAAATAACACCTAACAACAAGGAGAGCTCACACAGCTGGCGGTCCACGCGCCACTCGCCAACGTCACGCTCTGAAGGCTGCACGGGCAATGTGTGCTAAAATTAATCAAAGTTCACTTTTTAAACATTTAAGAATTTAGCATAAATATTTGAAAACACATTAAAAGCTCTGTACACAGAACAGTCCAGGGTGGTGTTTTTTACAACACGATGTTAAAAAGTGTGGAACATAAAATAGGACATGTACATTTGTTGTCACCATTAAAAAAAACCATCTTTGCTTTTGGGGTTAAGATGGTGACATCACAGGAACTGTCCATCACTTAGGAAAGTTCCCTTTCATGCTCCTGAGCAACCCTCGGGGGCCAGCCCCGGGGTCCACTGGAAGCATCACACATCAGAGGAACGTCTGAAAAACAGAACTAGGTAGGGGGAGACAGTGAACAGGTAAGGACCGCAGCGGTGCCGCGGGGATGCCAGAGCAGAGCGGAGCCTGCACTCACCAAGGTCATGTCGTCACAGCAGGCAGCGCAGGTGCAGGAGGCCGCGTGAGGGTTCAGGATCCCGTCCTGAAGAGCAGAAAGTCTCGCAATGTCAGGAAATCGGCCCCATGCGAGAGCCGTGACCCTATACTCCAGCATGTCCCACCACGCACCCCCACCCTGAAGGGCAGCCCATCTCCCCGAGAACCCCGCTCCTTCCTGCAGCATGCGGACTCCCCACCAACACCCCGTGGGCTGGACCACAAACAGGGCAGGCCTCTCTGTCCCTGTCCTCCTGGGTCTCGCTCACGAGCACGCGTCATTAAAGTCTGACTCTCATGCTCAGACGGAGGCCGTCATTGCTGCCCACCAGTCCTTGCCTCACCGTGCGAGTAACACCCTCCTGGGATGCCAGGGAGGCGGGGCACAGCCCGTCTCACGGTGGGCGAGTGGGGGTCTCCCCCCGGGGCCTGCATACCTGGATGAGGCACTGCAGCGGCCGCCCCGCATAGCGGATGCTCCTCTTCCAGTCCTTGCTGCTGGCCCTGCCTGCCATGGCTTCAAACTCCGTTGGGCTGTACCAATTCTCCCCCTGCTTGATGCACCGGCCCCGGCCTCCTGCAACCACACGTGAGTGTCAGGAGAAAACTGCCAGGCCCGCAGCTGCCCTCTCCTGCCTCTTCCACAGCCGACCACAACCACTAGTGCACCCTATCCGCTCCCTTGGTGGCCCCCACAGTGAATCTGTGGGCCCTGCTTCCAGTCGCCCGCCGATCTCCCCCCACCACCCAGGGTCACCACGAGCTCGTCCATGTTGCACACGGCGCTCACAGCCTCTGCCCTACTTGCAGAACCTGGGCCTCCGGGTCACTGAGCTGACTCAGGAACTCAGAGGACTTGGCCCAGCCCTGCCCACCAGGCCCCGGCCACCACCATTCCTCAATGCACCACCCCCCATTTTCTTAACCGGTTCACGTGTCGTTACAGCCGTGCTGGGCCCTACTTATTGTGGGGGGCCACAAAAGGAAGGGACGCCTTGAGCCCAGGCAGCAGAGCCCGAGGGCCACGGCTGCTGCTCACCGGAGCCCAGCCGGCTCTTGTAGAGGGTGCCGCTGACGTTCCGGCACCGCACCGGCAGCTCCCCGGCGTACACCGACGGGTCCCAGTTGTACTTGGTTCCACCCTTTTCTTGGCCGGGAGCCAGAGGAGTCGGAGGAGACTGGGGGCCTTGAGCAAAGAAAGCATTTTAAAAAGAAGAGACAGAGAACGCACCCCAAAACAATAGTAAGCACGGTGAACACAGCTTGATTCTAGCAGCAGGTGGCCCAGTGGTCCCCAGACCATCCCAACTCAGCTGCACTGTCTCCTCTGACTCTGGGCAATGCCTTCTCTGCCTGGAAAATTTTCCTTTTCCTACTTAAAACTGAATAGAATCTGATAAATGAGATTCACACAAAGTGAACGAGTCTTCCCCCAGAATAAACTCCGCCTGGCAGTGTTTTGCCCCTGGCGCACGGGGTGGTACCTGGAGTGAGGGGGGCAGCGGGTGCCTTCAGCCCAGCAGTCTCCACGATGCTCCCGTCCGTGTGCACAACGATCAGGGTGGCCTTCTCGGTGTTCAGGCTGTCCCCAATCTGAAGGGCTGTCCTACCCGACTGCAGGAAAGACCGCCCAGGAGTTGTCTCAAAGGACAGTGGAGGCAGGACACCTGTGTGCTGGGATGCGGTCCTGCAGGGGTTCTAGCTGACATCACCACCGGGAGGCCCACCATGCCTCGCTCCCCTGAACAACTCACACGCAGAGCCAAGGCCAAGAAGAGGCATCGCCAGGTCTGCGCGGCCCTGAGCAAACGCTCACAAGCCCTTGTCCAGGTTAAGGAATCAGCGTGCCCCCGGGCTCACCCCCGCCAGGTCACGGGCCTACAGGGAGACTTTCTGAGAGGCCGAGTCTACAGCCACAGTCGAGGCCTGGTCCAGGACCCCTGTCCTGTGCGTGTCACCCCCAGAGGCTGGGGCCTCCAAAACCGGGCTGCTCACACGCCTCTCCGGGGGGCTGGAGGCTGCCCTGACCATGCCTGCTTCCTTCAGGCCAGTCAGACCCCCTCCTGTCCCCGCTGGAGCCGAGCCCCACGCTGGCCACCCCAGGAGCACTCCTGGGCCCGTCAGCTGGTCAGCTCTCCAGGCTTCGCTCGGACAAGCCTGGGGTAGACTAGAGACCTCAAAGCACTCTGTCCAAACGCGGGGTCTGGACGCTCTAATGCTCTCCCAGTCAGAGAACACGACTAACTGAGGCGACGTGGGGAAGGACGCCGGCTGCAGGCAGGAGCCCACTGCCTGGCTACCAGCAGGGCATCCTCACACCAGAGAGAATAAACCGAGTTTCTCAAGTCTGCCCTCCAGAGTCCTTCACTACCCTGCCCTATTACACTTAATCGTGTGAGCTTTCTGTCCACATCCAGCGATAAGAACTCAGCTTTTGGGTATAGTGTCCCAGGTGTGTGATCAAGGCTAAAAAGACAGAGACCACTTCCACCTCCCCTTCCTAGGGACCCAGGGCCACCACCCCACCCCCCGCCCCCAAGGTCTGTGGAGAAGCCGGTGAAGGGGTAGGCGGAAGTGCTTCCAGGCCAGCTTACCAGCACGTGTCCTGACAAGGAGGCGGCGTTGGCCACCGACGTGGTGAAGACGTTGTCTGCAGAGGCGCCCACGTTGGCCACAGTTACGGTGGTCACCTCTACAACACAGGGGCCTGACTCAGCGCAGGCGGACCCCTCATGGCGGGTCCTGGTCAGGTAGCGCACGGCGGGGGAGACCTAATGCTTTCCACACAATGCTCAATCGACGTTTCCAGACCTCAGTCTACATGACTCGGTTCCTCCAAGAAAGAGGCCTCTCCCTCCCAGCAGAGCCTTCTGTGCACAATGAAAACCCACAGTGTGCCCGCCCCCAGACAAGCTCATGTCCATACCCCGCTTTCCTCCTGCCCCCCCATCTGCCGCAGATCTCTTCCTCCTTAAAAACTCATCAGACCTGCCTGTGCCTCCCTGCCCCCCACCCGCACCACGTCAAGCTCAGCCCCTATCAGCAGCATCTGTGCACAGGGGGGCTGCACCCCCACCACCATTCAGCCACCTGTCACCCCCAAACAGGACCCGCTCCTCCTGTCTGCACACACCTCCTCTACCAGCCTGCTGCCCGGCAAACGCCCCCTTGGGTGGCACAGCGTTCTAGAATGTCCCATGCTGAGGCCGGTCTCTGGCACGTGGGAGGTACTCAAATTGACAGAGAGAATCCTGCACATTCCATCCACCCCACACTCACGAACCTGCACTAAAAACACCTGCTCCCCATCTGTCTCCACTGTGTCCCAGGAGCCCAGTGCTGAGGGGGTCTGTCTGGAAACACACACACTCTCAGTCTAAAGAGTGACAGACAGTCACAAGCAGCTGTCTGTCCAGAGGAGACAGCCTCAGCTCAGCAAACGTGTCCTGCTGGGTTACTTACACCTGGACTTTACCAGGCCTCAGTAATTCATACAAAAAAGTTTAACCGTTTTAACATGTGTGAAAAACACAACGATAACAAACTGTGGTTACGGGGTGGGGGTGGAGGGGAGAAGGGAGGGATAGATTAGGAGTTTGGGATTAATAAATACACGCTACCATATATAAGATAAACAAATAACAAGGACCTACTATACAGCACAAAGAACTACATTCAGTATCTTGTAATGAGCTGCAGTGAAAAAAACCTGAAAATCTGTTTATATATATGTATGCGTGTGTGTATGTCTACATATAACTGAATCGCTTTGCTGTACGCCTGAAGCTAACGTTGTAAATAAACTTCAATTTAAAAAAAAACACAACTATAAAATTTTGCCAAAAACCCCCCACATGATGTAGATACATTTCTCTGGTGTTGCAATGAATGGTGTCTCTTTTTTGGGTTCAGAAAATACATGCAAAGGACATAAACCTGAAGAAAAACCTCCCAGTCCAAAATCTCAGTGTTTAACCAGAGTTTAACAATGAAAATATAGCTCTCTAAGGGCTACAGAGCCTGCCTCCCCCACCTTCTGCAAAGATCCTGAACACACCGCATGCAGACCAGGTACGCTAACCCAGAGGCACCCGGCGGCGCGGGACCTGGGCTGCTGGCACAGGGCTGAATGAACACCGGAGCAGCAGGGTTGTGAAGCGCCGCTGTCCAGTCCTGAAACCCATGAAGCTCCTGAGGGGAAAACTGCCTTAGGACACTCTCCAAGGGTTCTGGCACCCAGCTCTGAGGGCCCTCAGGAGCCCCCAAAGGGAAGGGAGGAACACTTGGGAAAGTCTCTACCTCCTTCGGACAGCACCCTGGGGAGGCACAGCCTCTAAAGATCGCTTTGGGGCGGGAGTCACAAAACTTGATGAAGTTCTGTGCGGCAAGAACAAGGTGCGCCGGCAGCCCCGTGGTCCCCGGGAAGGGACGTTCCATAAAAGGAAACGAGGGGCAGATAGAGACCTGGAGGGGGTCTGAGGAGCACCGGGCTGACCTCTGGGGTCACTTCCCCCGAGGCTGTGGCCCTCCCAGGTTGGGTGAGCGCTGCTCAGTTCACATCTACACCGGCCCTTGGGATTCTGTATGACCAGATGCGCCCACTCTTGGGCTCCTCCAGGGCAGGGTCCACGTCTGACCCTCGTGTCACCAGCACCCAGGCAGGACAGACGGAGGAAAGGACAGGCAGGACCAGAAGCAGGTGCTGAGAAGGTTCCGGAAGGAGCGCAGATTGCTGAAAGGACGGGGTTGGGCTGGCACAGGGAAGGGTTCAGGGAGCACGTGTGCTGCAGGGTGGGTGCAGGATGCTCACATGGGGCAGATGTGCAGGAACACAGAGCACACAAGGTAGGTGAGAGGCATGTGCAGGGGGAGGAGGTGGGCTGGCCGGCCAGGCGTGTGCAGGGCAGGTGCGCGTGCGGGGCCAATGTGCAGGGCAGGTGCGCAGGGCAGGTGTGGG